AATCAGGTGTGTTGGAGCTGGAAAACCTCTAAAACATGCAGGATAGTGGCCCTCGAGGACTGGAGTTTGACACCTCTGCTCTAAAACATGCAGGATAGCGGCCCTCGAGGACAGGAGTTTGACACTCCTGGACTAAGCTGTTCAATGAGATCCTAGAGAGAGAGAGAAGATGCCTGAGGAATGGAGGCAAAGTGTGCTGGTGCCAATTTTCAAGAACAAGGGATATGTCCAAAAGTGTGGCAACTACAGAGGTGTAAATTTAACGAGTCATTCATTGACGTCATGGGAAATAGTTGTTGAAGCCAGACTGAGGTCAGAAGTGGGCATCTGTGAACAGCAGTATGGTTTCATGCCAAGAAAATATACCACAGATGCAGTCTTTGCTTTGCAGATGTTGATAGAGAAATACAAATAATGTCAGAGGGAGCTGCATTGTGTTTTTATAGACCTAGAGAAAGCATACGACAGGGTTCCAAGAGAGGAGCTATGGTAATGCATGAGGAAGTCTGGAGTAGCAGAGAAGTATGTGAGAGTGGTGTATGACATGTATGAGAGAAGTAAGATTGTGGTGAGGTATACTGTAGGAGTGACAGAGGAGTTTATGGTGGAAGTAAGACTCCACCAAGGATCAGCTCTGAGTCCTTTCTTGTTTACTGTGTTGATGGACAGATTGACAGATGAGGTTAGACAGGAATCCCCATGGACTATGATGTTTGCAGATGACATTGTGATCTGTGGGCAGAGCAGAGAACAGGTGGAGGAAAATCTTGAGAGATGGAGGTTTGCTCTGGAAAGGAGGAGAATGAGGGTTAGCCGAAGCAAAACTGAATACATGTGTGTGAATGAGAGGGACCCAAATGGAGACATGAGGTTACAGGAAACAGAGATAAAGAAGGTGAAGGATTTCAAGTACTTAGGGTACACAGTCCAGAGCAATGGCGAGTGTGGTATAGAAGTGAAGAAACGTGTCCATGCAGGTTGGAATGGGTGGAGAAAATTTTCMGGTGTGATGTGTGATAAAAGAGTATCAGTAAGAATGAAGGGCAAGATGTTCAAGACGGTGGTGAGACCAACAATGCTGTTTGGTTTAGAGACAGTGGCAATGACAAAGAGACAGGAGGCAGAGCTGGAGGTTGCAGAGATGAAGATGTTGAGGTTCTCTTTGGGAGTGACAAGGGTGGATAAGATCAGGAATGACTGCATCAGAAGAACAGCCTATGTCAGTTGTGTTGGAGATAAAATCAGAAAAGCCAGACTGAGATGGTTTGGACATGTACAGAGGAGAGAAATTGAATACATAGGTAGAAGAATGCTGAGGATGGAATTGCCAGGCAGGAGACCTAGAGGAAGACCAAAGAGGAGATTTATGGATGGAGTGAAAGAGGACATGAAGGTCGTTGGTGTGAGAGAAGAAGATGCAGAAGATAGGGTTACTTGGAAACAGAAGACTCACTGTGGCAACCCCTAAAAGGGAAAAGCTGAAAGGAAAAGAAGAAGAAACATAACTATTGTTGGGTGTTCAGCCACATGGTAAAGACAACACACCACACACATGCACATATTTTACACAGACATTTTATGTTAGACAGGAAATCTTGGGAGACCTTTCAAGATCAAATGTGAGTTCGGAGTACATAAACATGACTGTCAAGGAAGAATCAATGGCAAAAAGATGACTCTGATATCCACCTGACTTTCTGGTGCACCATGGTAGTTTTGTCTTCTGTAGTTTGGATTCCCCTAAGTGTTTACATCATCTCCTTTTCTGATTGGCTACATGTCCCATTCAACAGGCTGTATTCTCATTTGTCCTCAGGGTACAYTACACACGTTGGTATATTGGGCCATGACAATCCAGCATGTAGAATATCCTCGATTTGAGGTAGGAGTAGTCCTAATGCCCTACCAAGCTGATTAAATCACTCTTAACACACTACACTGCACTACTCTCATAAGAATATCTTTAGAGCCATCACAATAACGGAGGCATCTTTAAGATAGTAGGAAGGGCACAATTTGGCCAAACATCAACAGAATGACAGACTAGCAGACTAACCTCTATCAGCATCTCAGACACCCCACTGGACTGGTTTAAATCCTATCTTTCCGACCGCACTCAGTTCATACAGCTCAAGTCCTTCCGCTCCCAGTCTTCACCCATCTCTACCGGTGTTCCCCAAGGTTTCTGTACTCGGGCCTCTACTTTTCATGATCTATCTGCTCCCACTTGGCCACATCTTCCATAAATTTGGTATCCATTTCCACTCTTATGCTGACGACACTCAACTCTACATTTCAACAAAACCGAACTCCACCCTCTCATCCTCCACTCTTACCGACTGCCTCAGTGAGCTCAATAACTGGTTCTACAATAATTTTCTCCAGCTAAATAATAACAAAACAGAACTCCTCCTTGTTGGGACAAAAAATACCATTTCCAAATCCCAGCATCTTCTCTTCACTCTTAACAACTCCGTTCTTTCCCCGTCACCTCAGGTCAAGACCCTAGGTGTCATCCTTGACACCACACTCTTTCACATCCCACATTAACAACGTGACTCGATCTGCCTATTTTCATCCCCGCAACATTAACCGTCTCCATCCTTCACTCATTCCCCGCTCCACTGCCATCCTTGTGCAMAGCCTAGTAACATCCAGGATCGACTACTGCAACGCCCTACTGTTTGGCCTCACCAATAAATTCCTTCACAAACTACAGATGGTTCAGAACTCAGCCACCTGTGTAATCACTCAAACCTCACCCTCTGCCCACATCACTCCAGTCCTACAACAGCTCTACTGGCTCCCAGTTAAATCCTGCATAATCTTTAAAATTATCCTACACACCTTCAAAGCTTTCCGCAATCTTTCCCCTCCTTACCTGTCCAACTTCCTAAACACCTCCACACCCTCCCGCTCTCTAAGATCTACCTCCTCCCTCCAACTCTCAGTATCCCCTGCCCGCCTCAGCACCATGGGGAGCAGAGCTTTCAGCCGCTCTGCTCCGCAGCTCTGGAACTCACTACCACATGGATTACGCAATACCACCTCTCTCTCCCTGTTTAAGACTGGCCTGAAGACACATCTTTTCAAATTAGCCTACAACTGTTAATTCCGATCTTCTATATATGTCTGTTTTTGTTGTCCTCACTTCAATGTTTCTCCCCCACAACCATTGTTCAATTTGTCTGCATTATTGTATTTTATGACTGTTCTGTACTCCACATTTCTTTCCCCCCCACACTATCTACAGTATATTAGACATTGTATGTATCTACAGTTTTGTTTTGTTTTTCCTTTATTTTCCTTTTTTCTATTGAACAGGGTCCTTGGGTGTCCGGAAAGGCGCTGTATGCATTATTATTATTATTATTATCATTATTATTATTGTTATTATTATTATTATTATTAT